GAGAAATTCGCAAGATGAGATCAAGGGAGATTGCATCCATCAAAGTTCAATGGAAGAATCGACCCGTTGAAGAAGCCACTTGGGAGAAGGAGGCAGATATGCGAGAAAGAAACCCACATTTGTTTACTGATTCAGGTACTCCTTTTCGCCCTTGTTTTCCTTCTTGTGATCGTTCGGGGACGAACGATGGGTAAATTGGTATCTATTGTAACGACCTGTTTAGTCATTTTGAGCACCAGATTTTATTTCTGGAAAAACAGGCAGAGATGACGGAACCCACGATGGACCGTCATGGGCACGACGGACCGTCGAGGGGTCTCGTTTCAAAATACTTAGAAAATCTGAAATGGGGTACTGAAAATCGACTCTCTGAACTTCGTGACGGAATGGCAGGACGGACCGTCACAGGCATGACGGACCGTCACAGAGCCTTCAGTGAATATCCATTCTCTTAACCTTGCGACGACCTGCAGGATGGACCATTGCAGGCACAACGGGCCGTCGCAGGTTGCATAATCCCAGTCTGGGTCGGATTTCTTTACACGTTTTAAGGGACGTTTTGGACTATTCCTACTTTAATTATAAAGATAGAGGGTTAATGTTAATAAGTCTAATTACTTGGGGGTTAAAAGAGGTAACCTTAAGTTAATTAGTGGGTTATTATTGTCATCTTTTATTCTTAATTATATACTAATTAGGGTAAAAGAAAGAGGGTTTGAATAAAGAAAAATAGAAAGAACAAGAAAGAGAGGGAGAATAGAACGAGGAAGAGAGAAACAAAGCTTGGGAAACTGCTTGCTCGATCACGAATCTTCGGTGGAGGTAGGTTATGGTTGTTTTTATACTATTCGTAGTAAACTCTTAATAGCGAATGATATGTATGGGTAGTATTGTAAACCCTTCTATATGCTTAATTGTATGCTTGCATGAAGGTGATTATGTAATTGTGATAAAATAAGCAGGATAAAGCTATTGAATCCTAAATCTTGAAAAAGAAACCCTAATCTACTTGTTAATGATGATGCCTTGGTATAAAGGAAGGCTTGATGAACGAAAGTAGTGGGATTAGGGGATCGGGTGCCACGTTCCGGTACCAGGATAGTATATGAGGATCAGAGTGTCACGTTCCGACACCAGGATAGTATATGGATCGGGTGCCACGTTCTGGTACCAGGATAGTATTGGGGATCGGAGTGTCATGTTCCGACACCAGGATAGTATATGGATCGGGTGCCACATTCCGGTACCAGGATAGTATATGAGGATCGGAGTGTCATGTTCCGACACCAGGATAGTATATGGATCGGGTGCCACATTCCGGTACCAGGATAGAATATGGATCGGCTGTCACGTTCCGACAAGAGGATAGAATGAGGATCAGAGTGTCACGTTCCGACACCAGGATAGTATATGAGGAGCGGGGTGTCACGTACCGACACGAGAGGAATAAAGATAATGAATCTTGAAAGATGCTAATATACTCAATCTAATGAACCTAATTCCCAAATGAGTATGATGAGGAGGCGTGAGTCCTCATTGATGAGCTTGGTGTTGTAACCAAGGGTTATGGTAATTGTAAATGCTGCATGCTAAGGATATTAGCTGATTTTATGATATTGCTTAATATATACTGTTTTCTATTTTGAGTTGGCCGATAATACCTACTCAGTACTTGTGTTTGTACTGACCCCCTACTTTTATGTTTTCTTCTTGTTTATTTGTGGAGTGTAGCAAACGTGTCGTCATCTTCAACTCAACCGCAATTCTAGCCAGTCTTCGTCACATTGGATCTTCAGGGTGAGCTAATGTTTCTAGCTTGGACTGGATCTTCTTCCTCATGTCTTGATGCCTTGAAGTTCCGGCATGGACTACCTTTTACTTGTTTTAGCTTTTAGAATACTCTTAGTTTAGTAATTGATCATAGATGTTCTTGTGATGATGACTTCCAGATTTTGGGGAATAATAGATGTTGAATTTTAGAAGTTAATGAATTGGTTTTATTTAATGAGTTTGAGTCTTCCGCATTATTTACTATTGATATTATATTGAAATGTTAGAGTTTAGATTGGTTGGTTCTCTCATATAGGAGGGTAAGTGTGGGTGCCAGTCACGGTCCGGATTTGGGTCGTGACACATTTTTTCCAGGTATGTATATGATCACTGCTAATATTTCACTGTCAATATACAATTGTTTTTGTTTTGTTACTTTCGTTTCCTCTTGAATTTCATTGGTTTATTAACATGTTTTGTTTTTGATTTCTTTCCACCTTTAGCCTTTTGTCTGAGCAATTCTTTAATTGAGGCTTTCAACTTTGAAAAATGGTTTTTGTTTGTGAAACTTCCATACATTTATTTGTCAAAATATAATCCATATCAATTATATTGATTTTGTTCGATTAGAAATTACATTTATCATTAGTTAACTCATTGTCTTTGTATGTCTAATTATTAATATTTTTACAGGTTTCTTGCTTATTACTTTCACATAATTGGCCTGGTGTTATTATAAGTGGGAAGCTCCTAACTTCAAAGTTAGATTATCATTTTTCTCTTTTAAATTTTTATTTTTCATTTTTTATTTTCTTGGAAATTTAGGTAAAAAAAAGTCCAAAGGTCATAATTTTTTGATAAATAACTATGTCTTCTCTAAGAATATTTCAATTATTATATTGATATATAACTATACTTCTTCCACGAGATATGTCCAACGTAAGTTTTTTTTTAATTTTCAGAAAGGAAAGATAGTTTTTTCCTTTAATATTGATCAACTTTTCCATTTGTTTATTATCAATATCTTTAAATTGAAAGACTTTTTTTATATAATGTATATTGCTTGTTGTTTTGTCTTGTATTATTATAAGTGGGAAGGTTTTAACTTCAAAGTTGAATTACCATTATACCCCTATACTATATTAAATATTTTGTCAATTAAATTTTAATATTAGCTGAATTCTCTGCATGTGCCCAATATTTAGTATAATCTATTAATCTTTTTGGACATTAATATATCCTTTTATTGTAGATGCTTTCATCTTTCAACTAAAACTTAGCTGAAAAGTTAGAGACTTGGGTAATGAAGAGTTGTAACATAGAGATATAGGTGAAGGGTGATGAACAGTGGTGGAGCCACACGTAGTGAAGGGGTGTCGACCAAACAATATAGATGGTGCTTTTAATACCAAGGGCTTACCCATTTCCAGGAAAATTAAAGTGAAATGCACTGATACTTTCTTTTTCCATAGCAGAAGCAAGATTCACCAAAATGTCGAAGTCCTATAACCAGAAACACAATGAAAAGTTATATGCTTCATCAGCAACTCTCCCACTGTTAAATAGACTACGTATATACTTACTTACCAATAAAGAAGCATGGAGAAACAGTCATCTGCTGTGATACTTAAACTTAAAAGTTTTATCTCTTCATAACAATTTGCTCGAAAAAGTAGAAAGAAAATTTGCAAGTACTTGCATCATATTGATACAAGTAATTCCTAAACTACCGCTCGTACTTATATTTGTATGACTAGATGCTGGACGATTGGCTGAGCACTAGCTAAATACTGATGCTCTACTAGTATAACCCAATGTGCCTTACCAAGGGCATTGCCAAACTAGATTTGTTTACCTCAAATGAACCTAAATATTGACATCAAGAAACCGTACCACCACAACAACAAAAAAGCGTCAGTCCTAACCAATCACGAATCAACAAAAAATCAGCAAAAAATTTGTTAAAATCAAAGAATTTTGAAACAATACAACCTAAAAATCTTATCAACAAGACATCCTTGGTGCATTCTACTACTTGGGAATCCAAGGGTCTATTGGAAATAACCTCTGTACCTCACAGAATGTAGGGGTAAGGTTTGCGTACAATTTACCCTCTTTAAACCCTAATCATGGGATCACATCGGGTATGTTATTGTAGCCTACTACTAGGGAATTATCTGACATCATTCTTACACATCTATCAAAATGCAGATTTAGCAAACTTCAAATGAGAGAGTATGCTTGGTCGTTTGGTCATGTCTTCCGTTGACCTTCAGATGTGTCCATATGTGTGAAGCCATGATGAGTGAAGATGTTAAAAGTGAGATGAGGTAGAATTAAAAACAAATTGAATGGAAGTGTCTTGAAAGACCTACAGTCTCTCAGTACCAATGCAGATTAGTGGAATACAGCGAGTGGAAGAAAAAGATTTATATAGGCAATACTATTACTAGGGAATATATTTTAATCATGTTAATACATTTACTTTAGTGATGACTATCAGTACTTCTCATCTTTATTTTTATTTTGTATTATGTTCGCCCGAAATGAATTCAAATCAGGAACATGGTTAGCGCAGATTCATAAGCCAATCCTAACTGAACATCTTCTCTTCTCATTCAATTATTTTTTTAGGATGTTCACATTCACACCATAGCAGCTCAAGAGATTCGTAAAGATAAAATCAGAATGTTACAGTGGTGGCATGGTAGTACTAAATAGATCTAAAACAGCCGGGACAACTTACTTTCTAAAAACTTATGTCAGCTCCACTGGACTAGATGACTTGTCCTGTGGCACTTGACAAAACAAGTTTAGTAGAGAATTTGAAGAAAGTGCTTGATAGGCAAATGAAGAACAAGAACTATAGTAGAATTGGAACAGTTCAAACCTTCGAGGATTTGAATCCATGGCACAAGACAACAATCTCCCTAGATCTAGTATCATGCAACACACCAACTAGTTTATCATTGTGTTGGTTCAGCACACTAATCTCCTTTTGCACAGCTGCTGAACATCAGGACACGTGCATCAGTAAGTAGGCAAAAGAACACAACATGTGCTATTAGTTGTCAAGGAATTCTATGTTGCCTCTTTCTCCAGTACAAGTGGGTTGATGAACATATTTTACCAGTTCCAGTTGGTATCACGCTCCATATTGAGCATGGAGATGAGTATTAAATCTTTAACAACAAAATGTAAACAAACAAAAACAGGGATTATGTTTAGTTACTCAATGAGGTGGACTCTGTTGTTAGCCATGTCAAGCATTATTTATGGCGTAATTCAGTGTACATCCCAGAATAAATTCTGAAACAAAGTTTGCGGTTAATGTAAAAAAGTTGCTGCAGCTAATTCGATGTTAGCTACACAACTATTGGGCAGAAGATAGGAAGTCAGCATACTAGTCTAGCCAGGGAGTAGAGTATTAGTTACACGACTGAAACACTATTGCATAAAGCTGTTTGCAAACACTAGTAGCATACTGTGAACACCAAGTACCTACAACTTCAAAATGACATGGATAACTTACAAAGGAAGTTTGATAAGATTTGCAACAAAAAACAAGTCTATGTATGGACTGCAGGGTTTAAAAAAGTTATGGAAGAAAAAATTAACCTGTAGGGAGGCCATCCAACAGCGGAGGAAGCGGTCTAGAGAGAGGGTTGGTAGAAATTTGGAAATGGGCCTTCGATAGCAACACAAGGGACTCCTTGTACTTAGCAACAAACATGGGATCTGGAAAGAGTTATAACCCTTCTACTTGAGTGTGCCTAATATTGGGGGCATACCTGATGTTCCTTGTTGCAGCATCATGTAAGGACAAAAACCTTTTTTTTGTTTTCCACCAAACAGCTTCCCCGTGTCTTATCCCAAGGGGCTCATCCAATTTATCATCAAATCAATCTCTCTGTTAGACAACCGATCCATCCAAGTTTGTTCAGGTAGGCACTCATTCAATCTGTAGTCAGTGTTACGCGGTATGGTAAAAGGTGAAATATGGGATCTCTTGCTCCAAGAGATTGGATTCCCATATTGGTTCATAATCCAAATATCGAACCCAATGTCATGAAGAAAGGAACCAACCACCAACTAAATGGACTGATCAGTTGTAGAAATATCCACTTTAAAATCCTCCCCACCCAACAAGTAATTTGAAGCGATAGTAACTTCTATGCTGGAAGGAAAATATATTTCTGAAAAATTCTCCGTCTTTACATTATAAAATAGAACACTATTTCTCTGATGGGTTTCATCTGCCTTTTTATAGGCAACCCAGTGTATCGCCCCTTTCATGAACACATTCTTTTTTCGTGCATAACTAGATGGAGCCAGACTGCTCACATCTTCCCATTCAATCGGCTCATCAATGTTAGAAGGTCTAAACCAACATATATACATCTTATTACGCTCGTTTGTCGAAAGAACAAGGACTTTATAAGTGTTTTCCTCAACATTAAATCCTAACCCAGCCGTAAAAATATAGAGTGATTTGTTTATTTATTGGCAGTGCTACTGTTTTCTTGATAGCGGGGTTGGAAACATAAAGTTGTTGTTTAACAGCTGATCTGTTATCCACCACAAGCACTAATCCCCCGGCAAGTAGAGAGGAGCTCAAAATTAAGTAGATCTACAGATTCTGATCAATCAGGATCCTCCTTAGACAACAGAACAGATGCATATCCATATTTTTTAGAATCATTGGCAAAGGTAACAAGGTCATAGGATCAACAACTTCTTTCCATATGTGACTCAATAAAGTCGGTAGATGTTATGATACTAGCTACTCCTTTAGAGATGAGCTTGTTTCGAAGAAGAGATTTTATTGGTGATCTTACCAATATATCAAACACTGCTTTCTCTAAAACTTCAGCAGTAACTATTTCCCTCTCTTTTACTGAAGGCTCCATGGATTCCTGCAGGAAAACAAGGTATTAACATTAAATTAATTCAACTATAACATAAGATGATGCAACTCGGAATCCTTTAATCGAATTAAAAGCCACGCGACAGAACCTAAAGAGTGAATATCCTACACTCAGAACCCTAATTGGGAGCTCAGATTTGTAAAAAGAAAGAGAGAGAAGATAGTATTGCTTTCAGAAACAATCCTTGCCTTTACAATACCCAACTATCAGTTTATAAGGAGTGCAGCTCCATTAGCAGGAGTGTTAGTTGTAACTAACTACGTGACAACTGACTAACTAATGACAGCTTTCCCCCATGTGCCAACTAACTACTTAACTACTAACTATTGGTTTCAGATACAATGAATTAACTATGGGAATTGGAATACAATTGAAATAAGAACATATTATAAGAGCTCAGAAGATTGATGAACTCACTGAAAATGTGAAAATACCTGAATCGACTTCAAAGCAGAGTCAAAACAGAGTAAATGCATAAACATGGAATGAAGTGGATTGTGAAAATGTATGAAATAATGGAACCCCATTTCATGGAAAGAGAAATGGAGGAGCGTGAGAAGAACAAAATAGAAAATCTGTTTGCGAGGGAAAATGAATACCCTTCCTTCTTAAGCAAATTAAGCAACTGGTACTACAGCAAATCGACCATAACCCACTCACTCACTTAGTAAATTACAGATATACTCTTGTGCTGTAAACTGATATATCCTCCCTATATGTATTTTGTAGGAGAAGCAAGTCGTGTACTTCTAGACAGTTTCTAAATAATGATTTATGTATTGTGTATGATAACATTTACACGGCATAAACCGGATGCATATACACACAAAATCACAAGCACGGATTAAAAAGAAAAGGTCAGAGCATCTTAAATAATTGCAAGAGAGTATTCTTGTTAAGGTTCACTACAGCTTCGATAGTTAAGTACTTGCTACGTATGTTATCACACAAAACTTTCACCAAAATAGAAAATATGTTTGTCAGGGAAAATGATTTCCCTCCTTAAGCAAACTAAGCAACTGGTACTACAGCAAATCGATATATAACCCACTCAATCACCCACCCGATCACTCACTTAGTTAATTACAGATATACCCTTGTGCTGTAAACTGATATATCCTCTCTATATGTATTTTGTAGGAGAGGCAACCCGAGTACTTCTAGAAAGGTTCTAAATAATGATCAATATATTATGTATGATATATTTACACAACATAAAACCATGCATGTACACAGCAAATCACACGCACAGATTAAAAGATAAGGACAGAGCAACTTCAATTATTGAAAGAGACTATTCCTGTTTAGGATCATTATGGATTCAATAGTTAAGTACTTGCTATCTATGTTAGCAGACAAAACTTTGACCAAAGTAGAGAAATGAATTCCCTTCTTTCTTAAGCAAACTAAAACTGGTACGACAACAAATCGACCTATAACCCACTCACTCACCTACCCAATAACTCACTTAGGTAATAACAGAGTAAATCGACCTATAACACAGTTACTCACTTAGCTAATTACAGACAAACTCTTGTGCTGTAAACTGATGCATCCTCCCTAAATATATCTTGTAGGAGAAGCAAGATTTGTATCAACATATTATGTATGACTTACACAACATAAAACTAGATGCATGTAACAGCAAATCACAAGCATCCATTATAAGAAAAGGACATAGCAGCTTCAATAGTTGCAACAGAGTATTCCTGTTAAGGGTCATTGCACTTCGATAGTTAAGTAATTGCTAATCTAAGTTAGCACACAAAATTTTCACCAAAAAATCGGTATCATCAATACCTAGGAAGCACGGAACTGCGAACACAATTGTGGCTGATTACTTGCCTCCTAATGAGCAATTTCAAAGGTTTAAGATGAAGAAGGTAGGGAGATGAAGAATCACAAGACATGGATGCTTACCTCTAAGCAGTGAATGCTCCTACTAAGCTGGATCGCTACAACGAAGAGATCGAAAGCAGGGAAAAAGGTGAATGTTCCGGTGGTTGCCTAGAGGAACTAGTGAAGTGTTTTTGGCAAGTGAGTTGATTGTGATTGACCCCTAAGGACTGGGTCCTATATAGCATAGTTTTTGTTGTTCTAGTTTATTTTTTATTTTCTTTTGGCTCTTTTATGATGATAGAAAAATTTGGTTAAAATAATTGTTATTTAATACTGTGTTTTAAAAGAATTTTAAATTTATGTATATTAGTTATACACCTAATTTGGTATTATATGGTGTATAATTAATATCTATCATGAGATTAATAAATGTAAAGATAAAGATACACCTCAAATCATTATAATTAGGGAAATTTAGCTTACTAGTCAAAAAAATCAATTTATATAGTGATAATATCCATACTTTGATAATATTAGTAATCATGTCAAAAATATCATTATTCCAATTTGAGGGGGGTGGAAGCAGAATCTTAGAGAGAGAGTGGAGAGTTTATAATTTAATGTGACTTGTTTATTTATGAGGGAAGAACCCTCTATTTATACAACCAAAGTTACATATCTGGCCAATATAAGTTGCTGACTCTTACTTTTACACATGGCCTAATTATATTTGGCCGACGCTAAACAACAAAAAACTTTACATGACAATGGTCTTTACTTTATTTATGGTCGACACAACTTTTTACATATGACCTTCTTTTATATGGCCGACGCAAAACAACAAAATACTTTATATAATAGACAACAATACTATTACTACTTTACATAATGGCCTCTTCTTTTTATTTTTGACCTACAACACTTTTTTTTTATCTTCTTCTTGCAAGTTATCTGACTTTATTCTAATTGTACTTCAGGGATTATATCATCACCTTCATTACACTTTAAACATATATGATCTGGATATTTATGACCAATTAACTTGCAATATCTTGTCAATAGTTCTTCATAGATGAATCCTTTCTTTATTGCTCTGGTTGTTGGAGTAGCTTCGGGTTTTAATAAGGATAAAATACATTTTTGGACTTCCTCCATATCTGCTTGTCTTATCTCTCGTGATTTGGCATATATCATCAAATGATCTCTAGAATAATAGCTCCATATAGTATTTCCTTGTAAATAATTGTTGGCTAACTCTTGTATAATAGTTGAGAACCCAACTATTCTTTTGTTCGCATAAAAACTGGGTATCTTCACTTTTGATATCTCCGGCTGTTGTCCTATATCTTCTGGTATTATCATCTCTCGTGTTAATCCAATTTTTACTATTTGGATCTTTGGTTTTATCTCGTCGTAGAATATTTCATCTGGTGTTGTATAGAATCTTATAAAAAATAAATTTCCTTTTGTTATTTTTTTATATATTAAAAACGATTTGTGGACCTCTGGGATTCCACTTATTTCTTCTCCTATATATGTGTAAACTGTATTTAATAATCCATAACTATAACAGGTCTTAACTAGATTGGGATTTGTTTTTGGCTGTGCAATTAGTTTATTATAACCTTGTAATTTTTGGGTTAAATAGTCCTGGGTTTTTTCTGTAGTTGTGGTAGATCTGGGTTTGAGGTTTAAAAAGTTTTGCATTTTATATAGATTTTCAATATAACTTTGGGAAATATGGTTATATGTTTTCTTTTCTTTATGCAGGCTGGCTGCATATGTAGATGTTTGTGGTATTGGGGTATCTATCATTTGTACTTTTGGAATAAATGGTTTCGTAAATAGGCTGTTTAGGTTTGTATTTTTTGATGTAGTTTTTTCCATAATTCATGTGCTAGTACCTGCAACATTAGCAACGTTATGGGTTTTAAGGAGTTTCCCAACGTCTCCTTTTATCTCTGGCTGTTTTCCATCTGCCGAACTGTAACGACCTGTTTAGTCGTTTTGAGCAGCAGATTTTATTTCTGGAAAAAAAGGCTGAGGCGACGGACCCCACGACGGACCGTCGCAGGGTCTCGTTTCAAAACACATAGAAAAAACTAAAAATTGGGTACTTAAATCGACTCTCTGAACTTCGTAACGGAATGGCAGGACGGACCGTCACAGGTGTGACGGAGCAGCAGGACGGACCGTCGCAGGCTGCGTAATCCCAGTCTAGGTCAGATTTCTTTATACGTTTTAAGGGACATTTTTTAATATTCCTGCTTTAATTATAAAGTTAGTGGGTTAATGTTAATAAGACTAATTACTTGGGGGTTAAAAGAGGTAACCTTAAGTTAATTAGTGGATTATTATTGCCATCTTTCATTCTTAATTATATACTAATTAGGGTAAAAGAAAGAGGGTTTGAATAAGAAAATAGAAAGAACAAAGAGAAAGAGGGAGAATCGAACGAGAAGAGGAAAACAGAAGGCTTTGGGAAATTCTTGCTTGATCACGAATCTTCGGTGGAGGTAGGTTATGG